TAAACAGATAAGTCTTAATCATATAAGCAAACTTATTATCTTGATACAGTAGACATTTACTCATTGCTTTACGTACTAACCTCCATACTTCTCCATAAAACATATATTCTTTTATAAGTCTATCATTGCAATTATTTATATAATTTTGCTTATTATCAGTTAATGGTTAAAGATATCTAAAGTGCTGATTAGCTTGATCTACTTCGTTATCTGCACTAGATTCATCTATAAATTGTTGTTCATAGAAATCAGGCTCTTCTATTGCATTATTGTGATATTTTCTAGATATCTATTGGATATTAATAAGTCTCAAACTAAATCATGCTGCTTTAGTAATATTTAAAAGGTGAAAAAAGTGCCAGCAAACAAGCCCTGTTTCTGCTATAACAATTATGTACAACTATATAACCCATCGATAAGAAAAAAAATTACATGATTCATATTACGTTCTGTTAATCTACTAATATTCCAAATTTCATTAATTTTTCTTTGATCTAGTTGTTGCAAAAGGAATTGTGTATACATAAGTACACTATCAGGTTCGCTTTTGAAATCCTCATTTTCAGGTGGATTATTTGTAGGTATACATTTAATTTCTTCTATGTTAGAATGAGAAGCTATATAAAAAACATTTTCTTTTATCTAGTTAATAATAAATTTTGCCACATTTGTCTGCAAATAATGACTAACAAGTGTCTTAATTTCTGGAAATACTGTTAATATATTAACTTTTAAAAGAATTTCTCTGATATGTTCTTCATATTTTTTCTCTTTTTGAATACCTTCAATACTATTAATTATAATTTTTTCAAGTTCATATAAAGATATGTTACTGCTTTCAATAATACGTTTAATGCAAGTATTTTGACTTTTAACAAACGAAGTTGATTCAATGCCAAGTGTAAAAAGTGTTGTTGTAAATCCATGCACTCATGCTTCACAACATCCATATAAGTGTTTTTGGAGATATTGATTTGCTGCTAGATAACTTGCAACCATTTCATTTCAATAATGATAAAACAAATCAGGAGTACGTAAAGCAATGAGTAAATGTCTACTGTATCAAGATAATAAGTTTGCTTATATGATTAAGACTTATCTGTTTA